CGTAATCATTGCCAAACTTCCGTACTTCCCCTACTCTTCCAAAAAACTATTTATAATCACTGGGAAAAACTCTGTTTAATTTAAGAACTTATTGAAATTTCAAAACTGTTACTTTGGGGTCACTTTAAAAAGAACTGTTTTAAACAGCAATTACAATTTTTTAACTAAAATATGGGATTTTTTTAAGACTGTCCTCGGTTTTTTTTCAATTTTATTTTTGAGACGTTGAATTTCATAAGATTTTAAATTTTATTAAAATACTTGCTTATAAGGCAGGCAATTATTCAGTTTTTATAACGTTACAATATATTTCTAAGACTTTCATTAAATATTTCATTTTTTTACTGTCTTTTTCAAGAATGATTTCTTATACAATTTAATTAACATATCTTAAAACAGTTTTCCCACAGTGTTCGGTGGCTCCAAACTCCTCTCACATTTGGATTATATCTGATGCGGTATCTATTCATCGCGATCCCGATCGGGTTTCGCTGAACTTCCGCGCTTTGACCTTTGCAGAGCCAGCAGGCAGACGATAGACGATCCCCAGATAATAGATACGTTCGGCTTAAGTATGTTCTATTATGATGCCATTAAATGGAACGTACAGTGGCAGCCGAAAGGCAGCAGACGCTCTCAAGGCGAGCGAGTGGCGGCTCATGAGTGGGGGGCCTCCAATCAGTGGGAGATATATATATTATATATGTACGGATTCCGGGCTTGTTAGAGCCGGCGGACCACCAATGGTTCCAGCGTGGCACCGTTAGTCAGGCAGTAATAATAGTTTTGTTAATTTGACTATTGTATTCTCCCCTGTCTTTCGGGTTGTTTTGTTTATTTTTCCGCCTGACAGAAATTGATAAATTATGATAGGTGCTTAGCTTTGATTAAGTTGTCGTGTCGCTTCTATGAATTCATCGGATGTCAAAGGCAGCAGAGGCGAAAGATCAAATGCTCTGATATAGTTTGCCACCGCGTTCGAGTTGAAGTCCGAAATTCGAGTCTTCGATTTCCATTTCCAATCCAAAATGGCAAATAAAGTGAAAAAAGCAAGGCATAAATCAATATTCGCATCGAGTGTCGAATATCGAGCGGCGCGATAAAGAGCGATAAAATTATGTTCTGTCGCCTGGCTGCGCAAAATAAATACATACAGCGATCGGATCCATAATGAAGCCTATAAAGAGCCGGGGCGAAATCGGCTCAGCAGGCGCAAAGTGAAAAAAATAACAAAAAATGGTCAAAATTTATTGTACGCTGACGGCTTTTTAATGAAAAAACGTTGGCTACCAAAGCGAATTAATGAAGGTGTGTGCGCATATATCCCACATCCCAGATCCCGATTTCCCCAGTCCCCCCTTTGAAACCCTTGTCATTTTTTATGCCGGCACAAGTTCAAAAAAAAATAATGAAAATAAAGAAGCGCAGATTGATCAGCATTTGAATCGATTTAGCATAAGAATGAAAACGTTTCTCTAATGAAAATTGTTTATGGTTTTACGACACCGGTCATTCATTCATTCAAACACGTGTTGCTCTTGGCTTATTGACTTATTTCCCCTGTTTATTTTTGGCCGCAAAACAAAATAATAGAGTAGCTCCTATTATCTTTCTGACTCTGACTCCGATTTCGTTTCCGATTCCGATTCCAATTCCACAATTTGTTAATGGAGCTGCTCTGGCCACTCACAACTTCATTGTAAACGCAACCAGTATGACATTTTAATTATGCGCCTGTCAACCAGACTGGCTGGCAGCCAGCTTTCAATTGCAATTAATTATATTTTAATAATAGTCGTTGTCCCCGTCGACTGCAAAAACTGAAGTGTTATGGAAATGTTTTGTCAAATGGATGCGAAAGGGGGTTAAGATCCCTCGCCGAATTCGGTATAATAAGCTGGTTCGATTGACTTATCAACCAGATCAGTGGCTGAACCCTCATTTATCTCTGCCTCCGGGTTTGTCCCAAATGTGTTCTTTATTTATTATTTGTTTTGCCTAAGCCCGTGTTGATCATCAGTCAGTTGGGGAAGATTTATGGCAGCGGAAGCGATTGCAGCTACACACCGAGGATGCGCCGATGACACTTGACACTGCATTGCCAAGTGGCGCATTGGCAACAATAATAATAATAATAATAACGATATCACACACTCAATGACAGCGCCAGGGGCGGAATCTGTATAGTTATGAGCAAATGTCAATTGGCAATCATATTCGCAAACTGCAATACGAGTGGTTCCGCAAGGCGATCTCCGCGATAAACAAACGGCGGCCAAGTGACTGATTAGAGAAATTATCAGCAACCTTCGTTCGTTATATTCAGATGTCGTTATATCATCAAATGGAAAACCCGTGTTCCGATCTCCGATTCCCGATGACATGGCTGATGACCTTATGGACGGCATTCTGACTTTCTAACCGATGGTGGGCAATTGGTATTGCATATTCATTAGTCAAATTCAGCCAATCATTTATTCTGCCATCGCCGGTGTCTTGTTTTACTTTCTTTATCTAGAAGTTTAAAATATAGAAATAACATATACTTTGCATGCGCGGGTCCCAAAGAGAAACTCGTTTTTTGTGGCCATTAAATTGTCTATTTTCGGATCGTAGAGTATAAGCGTGTGCTATAAACGTTATCTTAATTTAAATTGTTTACGGCACTCCCAATGATCTCCCACAGTTCTATAAAATTGCGATATTACTCCTAATATGTTCGATTTTTTCCATTAAATTGGTTTATATAAGTTTGTCTTCATCTATATGAATTCCAAGTAAACAAATGAGTTCGGCATTTATTAACCGAAATTCAGCTGTATTTCTCCATCCAAGTGAATCAGTGGACGATTCACTTTCCTTGCCGCGATTAAAAACAACTGGGTCACATGAGTCAGTAAAGGTGAAGCGATGACTTTATAAAAAATTAATATGCAACGCCAGGATTTCAGTGGAAAATACTGACTGCTTCCGAGTTGTGATATTTTAAGGCAGAGAAAACCAACCAAATGGCCAAAATAAAAAGCAAAATAAATGAATGAAACATGCTGGTCCAGTGGGTGGCATCCGATGTCCAAATGGACAGCACACGCGCACCGCAAGAAAGACATTAAATTGAGTCATAAAACCACACAAAGGCAAATCGGAGGAACAACTACAGAATCAGCAGGAACAACAACGATAACCGGCAGATGATGCCAAGTGCTGTTAAATTGAGTTAAATGAGGTGTTGGGAATTTTTTACTTCGCTTAACATGCATGAATGTACGCAGACAGGTCGGACAGATTCACGCAGGTTTATTGAAATGCAAACACCGACAATCGAAGGCCAATAATGTTTGCTTAAATCTCAGCTGCATAAGTATTGTACCAGCACAAATAAAATCGCACTCGAGTAGGAAATGTAAACTAGCCGCGAAACAAAAACATCGACAACCTGGGGAGCAACAGCAACAGCAACAGCAATAACAACGGCAACGGCCACAGCGAAGAGGAACATCAAAGAACATGTATCGGGCATATGTTTATTTCATATTTCTGTAAAGCATAATTTTTAATATTTATGTAGTTTTCGTGAAATAAAATAAATCAGCAGACCAGCGGAGACGTCACTGCCGGTGCCCGATCGCTGATCACTTGCCTCCGATCGCCGAGTAGTTGCTCGTTGGATGTTGCTTGTTGGTTACTGGGCCCTGGAATTGGCAACTGCAACTGCCACTGCCACTAGGATTGGGCCCGAATCTGGGAATGGGAATGAGACCGAGACCGAGCCGAGCCGAGAACGAGACCGAGATTGGAACCCTCACCCAAAACGTCATGTGTGGCATCAACATGGTCAGCGGCATCAGCGGCACTAAAACGAGGTGAAATAAAGAGAACCAGTTAGCAGTTGCCACACTCAAGAAAACATCGATTTTTAAAAATGTATGATCTCAAGTATAACGTATAACGTTTCAGAACTTAAAAATATTTACTTATACCACTAAAACTATCGGTGTAATCGACATAAATTTAAAATATGGTGTTACTGTTTGAAAATATATTTTTTTAAATATTAAGGCACAAAGACTCCTTGTGTTCGATTTTAAATTTACTGCATTGTTATTTGATTATTTAATAAATTATAGATTTTTAAATTCATTGATTAGATAAATAACAAATAACTTAAACAAATGCTTTTACAATAAGTTTTTAGTGATTTAAAAAATACATTTAATTTAATAATTATATTAAGTTTTCTACAGAAATTAATATTAACAAAATTCCACGTTTGCTTGAAAATGTATATGTTTGCTCTTGTAAATTTTAAAATATTTTCCCTTTTCTTCTCAGTGCATCCATAGGGCTCTGTTGGGTCAAACGAAGGCTCTGCTGGGCCGGCGCAATCGTTTGTACTTGTTAATGGCTTTGTACGCGTAATTATTTTGGCAAGAAGCCAGCGCGAAGCGGAAATGCGCGGAGCAAAAGCGAACAGGGCCAGTACATATGTGAATGCCCCACTAGCGATGATGATGGTGAAAGGATCAAGTGGCATTTGTTCTTGTGCGCCGCGACTGTGCATTTAATTGGGTGTTTTTATTGGTTTTTAATGATACGCGAAATGATCGAAGCTTCGACTGCCCTCGGGGCACCTGCTCGCCGATTTCGCAGTTTTCGCAGTTTTCCCAGCGACCCGGCCAGCTGCCACGCCCTCCTGGAAAGGCGAGTGATTGTTGCCCAACCAGCCGGATGATTAATATAAGTTCAATCTTCAATTACGCCGGCCAAAGAACACAAAACGTCACAGCAGCAGCAGCAGCAGCAGCAAACTGTTGCGACTGCGCGGCGTTTTTAGCATAGCTCTCTCACTTTGCTCAGTTCGCAGGTGGGGAATCCGATCGGCAGCTTCTTTCGCTGCTGCTGTCGCTGCTGCTGCCGCTGCTGACTTAACCGCTGCCGCCGTCGCTGCCTCTGCTCGGCGGTATAAAAACGTTGGCGCCGTCGAGCGGTTTACCAAACAGGCGACGCCTTCAAGTCTAGCTGCACGTACACGAGAGTGGAGTTGGAGTCGTCGGCTTTTTTCGTGGCGCTCTTTTTTTCGGTTTCTGGCAAACGGCGGATACTTTTCAAACCCCCCTTTAACCAACCGTCCAAAATTGTGATATAAAAATTTCTAGCAAAATTCAAAGCTAAAGTGTATGAAATAGTAAATATAACACTGTCGTTTATGAAGAGGTTATATTTGCAAAATTAAGAAAGTGTCCAATATATAAATAATCAAATAAATCAACGTGTTGTTCAACCCAAAATTACATAACTAAAATGATGCAGCCAAGTGCGCTATTACTAACAACCATCATGATCATCTCCTGCGGAGTGGCATTCGCCTGCAATGGAAAGATAATTGGTAAGTAGTCGAAGTGTCCAACCCAAGGTCCCTCAAAATCGATATGCATGTCAGGAATTTTGGGTGTATAGAAAACAGAATTTCAGGGCATGTCTAGCATGATTATTGGCGTTTTTTCTAGTTCATTTTGTCTACACGTTTCAGCCATTAACAGTGTGAATGAATACAGTGGAGTGTAAATATTTGGCCGTAAAAAATCTGTTTAATCTGCGTTCGTTTTGTTTTAGCGAGGGTCGCTCGAGAACTTTGTAGCCATTTGGGCCCTCTTTGTAAGCCAGTTTGTCAGGTCTATCCGAAAATAGACACGCATTCGGACAAACGAGTCACCTTTCTTCATTATCCAGTTTTAAACAGTGTATATATTGCATAATTAATAGTTTAGAAAAGCAACAAAAACGAGCGGCATATTACTTAAGCTTCGACCGGGATGAAAACCGGTTCAAATATCGGGTTTACTTAATTTATATAATTTTTGTCAGTGCCCAAATGAATTAAAAGTATATTAGGTGGCTGACCTGTCAACCGTCGGCTCATCCAGTCAACGGCCACTCAACTTGAAATCCCACAAATCGAATGAGATCAGAGCAGGAGCCTCGTAGAACCCTTGAAAACGATTAGTGGCGTCTAGTAACGCCATTGAACTGACTTTGGTATTTTAATTGCCACACGAAGGCGAGCTAAATTTTTGTAAACAAATTAAATTACCAGGCGCCACAAATGCGCTTGCAAATTATACAAAACACTCGATTTTTGATGGGTCATTGAGCTGATCGATCCACGCTTATGCGGTTTTGGAATAGAAATAGCTCGAAATGGCCAAAAAGATAATCGTTTTAATGTTCTTTGTTCTGCACACGCGGCGCTTAAACACCCAAAAATTCAAAAAATCCCAATCTACCACAAAAAAGGCGAAATGAAAACGAAAAAGAACAGATTTTTATAGTGCGCGTGTGCGTTGCTGATGGATGATTGCTTTTATGCTTTGTCTTCGATATCGGCTGGATTAAATGGTGATCCCTTTGGGGACCCAAGTTAATCGCATATCATTGGTGTCGTGGTATCATGGTGTCATGGTGTCAATGGTGTCAATGGTGTCAATGGTGTCATGGTATCATCGCTGTTAAGCCCAGTTTTGCTGCGGCATCAATCAAAAGGCGGCCGTGCTAATAATGTAATTAAATATGTGGAGGGGCGCAAGGCTAGTTGTAGTGATAATCAGTAAATGATAAATGAAAATGAAACGGAACATAAAGCATAACTATGAAAATTAACTCGCGCTAAATGCGGCGGGGTCCTTGCCACTTAGCCCCGCTCCTTTGGGCCCCGTTTCATCTGTTCAAGGTGAAGTCAACGCCTGGCAACGACGCGCTGCAGTTAAGCACTTGTTAACATATTGTCGGCATTTGGCTGAACGGTCTCGTTTCCCCTGCAAGTTCGTTGCTTGAGTCTTTCGTTTCGTTGCGCTGCGTTTCGGGCCAGCGAACGGCAAAGACTGCGAGCTGTTGACGTTTCGTTGTCAACATTATCTCAGCGGTTTGTTTCGTCCGTAAGCGGAAACTGATCGACAGCTTTATGTGCAATTTGTCAGCGAAGGTAGTTCACAAATTTGCATAGCGCCCGCCACAATGCAGCCGCAGCATCGATACACAAAACACGAGATACACGAGATGTACCGAGGCTTTGCTCCGGATGATTGATGCCCGCTCTGACTTAAACACACAGCTCTGGGCTTTTGGTTTTTAGTTGTTTTTTTTTTTTTTTTTTGATTTTTAGTCTTAAGCTTTTGGCTTTCGCCTACCGGTTTTCGCATTGATACAAATGTAGCATAATTTGACAGCTGCCGCCTGTCTGGGGTCTTGAGTTTTGACTCCTCGGTCTTCTGATCGATCGCTCATAGGCTATTTTTAGTCCCAACCTTGGGAGCATATTAAGATTAAGTCGAGAGGCAAACGCCGTGTTTAGCATTCTCGGCTTTTGTTTGACATCTAGACCCATATATTTGAGTGAGCGGCGGCGTCGACGGCGGCAGCGACGGCAAAGCTGCCAATTTATTTACTTGGGGCGCGTCAAGTTGTCTGACTTTAAATCTGATTCCGACAGACACGTCCCAGCACTTGACCGGCCGACAAAAGCCATGGTCAAGTTGGAGTCGGTAGTCTGGTAGCCTGGTAGCCTGGAAGAATGGAAGCTCGGCTTAAATGCTATCACGTCGCGTTGGGCAATCAGCGCCCATCGCCTGCTCCATTATTATAATTATTAAAAATTATTAAGCGCGCGTAATTATTTAAATGAAATGGGGCCACTCCCCAGGGATCCACTTCCGTCTGAGCCTGCTTTTTGGGCCGCTCTCCGGGTAATTAACACCCCGGGGCAATTCGTCTTAAACTGCGTCCACTTTTCGTGCCTGATTGGCTGACACACTTCGGAGCAGCGTCATGAGTCAGGCGCCGTAGGACCATGACTTTGGCATTAATTCAAATTCGACTATTGGCCAACGGTCCGAATTTTAATCGACGCCTTTGAACACAGCACGCGCCGCTCGCTTTTTGCATTTCATTTCATTTCATTCGATTCTATTCGATTTCGTTCTGTGTTCTATTTTAATGGGCTAACATTATCGAAACCGGTTGCATTCGGGGAGCAGCCAAACGCTTTAAGGAAAGTGACACAGATGTCTTGTGATCCGACCAACCGGCTGGTTACATAACACACAGCGATCGTTGGCGACAATTTGGAGCACACATTGTGTCGCCGGGCAAATAATTAAAACATATGTAAAACGAAGGCCAGTGTAAATTTGCGGCCCCACTTGAGATTTCTGTGAGGCAGAGCCAAGTCGCCTAAGATTTCGACAAATATTAGCTGGATAGAAACCGGCTTGCTGGAGCTCACAGCTCCAAGCCATCAAAGGAGAAACACCAGCCCGAAGAGATCTTCGAGAAACTAAGCATTTTATGCAAACAAAAATAGAAATGATAACATTCTCCATCCAGCTGCGTGTCTCATGCATATTCCCCCAATCCCCCCTCAATAATTCCCCCTCTCAACGACTCTCTTAATTTATGCAAATCTCGACCTAATCATTTCAGCATCGGGCATCACGGCGGAAGAGAGATCAATCATCTTGCAGGAGCACAATCGCCTGCGGCAGATCGTGGCCACGGGTCGCTATCCGGGTCAGCCGGGTGCCGAGAATATGCGCGAGATCGTCTGGGACGACGAGCTGGCCGCCCGGGCCCAGAAGTGGGCGGACAACTGCCAGTTCCGCCACGATCCGCACCGCACAATAAGTAAGTCATCCGGTCTATAGATCCCCCATCCCTTCTCCATCCCACACATACACACACCTACGAACCCGGAGTTGGATCGATTACGCGTAAAGCATGTGGCGCGTATCTTTCGGTTTGAGGTCTACACACTGTACGGTAAAGCCCATTGGGCTGTTCATTAAACCTAAGACTTGGCAGAACATCGTTATTTATAGCGAATGTCTAAATGCGACTTTTACGACACCTTCCAATTAAAACGAATTTTAATTAATCACTTTGAGGTATTTACCATACAGAGTGAATCATATTCGAATTGCTTTAAATTCTAATGAGTAATTACCACTTAAAGAACCTAAAGTTTATATATTATATAGACCAATAACTTAATGACCAGCCCAATGCGTCTAGTTCTTAAGATCCTATCATACTTTCCATTTTCTGCCTGCACGAAGCGCTTTTAAAACACTAAGACTAACCTCGCATATCCAGCACCTGCATCTCCCAGAAATCCATTCCCCAAATATAAATAATAAGCAATGCTAATGTGTTCATGCTATTCATCAACAGATCGCTTCACGATGGGCCAGAATCTGGCAATCATCTGGAGTACGGCGCCACTGGACGCCGATGACGGGGACTTCCCCTCGCGCATCCAGAGTTGGTTCAACGAGGTGCAGAAGTACTCCTTCGGGGACGCCTGGTCCCCCAAAACTGGACACTATTCGCAGCTGGTTTGGGGCGAGACCAGCTTGGTGGGATGTGGATATGCGGAGTACAAGGATACCAGCAAGTACAACAAGCTCTACGTCTGCAACTACGGACCAGGGTAAGTTAGTTATCGAACTCATTTGTTAGGAAAGTTATAACTTATTTTAGTCAGAGAACAACAAATATTAGGGATTATTAACCTTTTCATTTATGTAACAATAAATAAATAAATAAATACTATAGCTTTCCATTTTGAAATATTATAAATGAACAAATTTCTGAACTTAGATACCTTAAGATTTGTTTGAAAGTTAATTAAATTACACTATATAAAGTAAAATATCTAAGAAAGTTATTATAATATAAAATTATTAAAATTTATTATTTTTAAAAGATCTTTGGATTATTAAGAAATATATTTAATTTGTAGATTTTTTTGTCAATTAAGTTACCACAGCTTTTAAAAACTTTTTACTTAACATTTAGTTTAACAGGAAATTATTTTTGAGTTGCTATTTTTTGGGTTATATTATTTTAATTGTTAAAAAACTGCAAAGCACATAATTATAACCCATTCTTGTGTTTCTTGCAGTGGCAACGTGGTGGGCTACAATCCTTACGAGGTGGGCAAACCCTCGTGCTCCACATACGGCATGAAGCCCTCTTCCCGCTACCAAGGACTCTGCTCCGCTCCCGGATCTTCGCAGGCGACCAACAGCGTTTACGGAGCGAACAGCATTGAAACGTATGAGTACGGCTACAAGAGCAGCCCCAGTAGTCAATCGCAAACCGCCAATAACAATCCGCCGACTAACAACATTAACAATGGCCAGCTCAGCTACAACAACCGACCGCTCAGTAATCCCAAACCCGCGCAACCCTTGCGTCCCTCCCCCTTCAACCCACAGGCAGCGGCACCATCGACGACCGGCGGCGGCAGTTCGTTTGGCAGCGCCTCGAGGGGCGGTAGCCACGCCTTCACAACGGAGTCATCGCAGTCGGCAGGCCGCTATCAGCACAACAAGTTCGAGGCGTATCGGCCCAGTGCGGCCGAATTTGAGAAGTCCGTACACAAGCATACCATACTACGCACCTACATAGAGCAGAATCAGCAGCGGCAGGATCAGCAGAGTCAGCAGGATCAGCAGGATCAACAGGATCAGCAGCAGGATGAGGTGCCCACCAGCACCAAGAAGCCCAGTCGTGGCTGGAGCCTGTTGACGTGGCGCGGTTGAGTTCCAATTACCCGCCACCAACCCATTTGCCAATCCAAAATGCCGCTCAATGTATTAGGCCATTAATAGCTACTGTGTAGTGCCATTAGCCAACCACCAGGATTCATTAACATTCACCTCCTCTGTCGCCGCGCAACCCCTAGCGAATCTTATTTAAATCCCCCAAACAAATGCCATATGAGTTGTAGTAGCTTTCCTTCTTTGTAAATTTCCGACAAAAGATGGAGCGTAGGCGGCGGACTATTCATTCGCCAGACGAACATTTGTATCAAATGTTTGCCACCCACCAACCACCACTTACCACCTGAAACTGTCATCCTGTTAAACCAACCAATCGGCATTCAACATCGATCAGCTAGTTGTAGTATTGTGTTCAATAAAACAAGAATATTGATTTGTAAATGAAGTGTTTGATTCTTTGGGTTTGGCTTCGTTTGCATAACAGCTTGATAAGTTTCAAGATTTGTATACCAATCACTAGAAACAAAGTAATGGTAGTTGAACCAAATTTAAATTTCAATGATGTTAAAGATTATAACGTTATCCAAAAGTACAGCTAGATGAAAAAAAACGTAGTTTCGAAAAAAATTATAAAAAGCTTAAAATAGGTAAATGTCAAAGTGTATTTTAAAAGTGACAATTTATTTCCTTTTAAATTTATTATTATTAACATTATCCAAAAGTGAAGCTGGATGACAAAATCTGTTTGAAACCGAGTTGAGGCGATTCACAAAACCTAACTGCCATAAAACTCAAGTTTAGTAGCCAAAGCCAAAGAGAAATCGTTCTCAGATATAAACCAGTTAAGAGAAAATGTAAAGAGAGCGCATGCGTTGCGCATCGCATGCTCTGCTGAATTGAAGAGAGCTTATATGTGAAAATTGAGGAAAATTAAGGGGAAATTGGCAGCCCCTTTGCCTAACGCGATAAATGCAACAATGCCAACGCACAATTAAAGCCGGATGTCAAAAGAGCAAATTAACAATGAGCTAATGAGATAATGAGCTGCAATGGGGAATGTATCGAACTCAAGTGTTTTGGCCAATTTAGATTGCGATTTGGTGGGGCGAATGTGTGTGTGACTGTGTGTGCTGCGCAGAATTTTGGCAGCCTTGCACCTGCCCAAGGTCGTCCAGGTGTCTCTCGCCCAACCACCCACATTGTTGGACTGCACAGTTGAAAGTTTTCCTCAGATAGCTGCCCATTTCACTTCCCTTTCCTGCCGAAAAAGTACTTTGTGGATAACATTCTGCAAAATGTGGTGATTTTCACCGCATGCGGTGACTTTATTTCCGGTTTTAATTGTTCCGTGTTATCAGCCAGCTAGCTGTCCCCAAAGTAACACTCCAACACACACTCATTCTCAAAAAGTGTCAATTTCGTTTGTGACAAGGAATTAAGATAGGCAAATATGGCTGTCAATTGTTGTAGGACCGCCCCAATGACAGTCGTAAAACACACACGATATGTATAGGCATATGCCGAAAGGGTTAAACTTGCAGTTATGTTTATGCTCTTGTCGCAATATGCTTTATTCATATTTCTGTGCTTTTGCACGGAGGAATATTTTATGTTCTTGTAAAATAAAATATTTATGTAACAGAGTAAGAATGAGTAAATGAAGCTGAAACTGAATGTATAGAATAGAGTTTTGCCATTAAGAAAAAGAAAATAGGAAAAAGATTAGGAATAGATTTCTGCAAAAATATTTAAGAAAATATAAAAATATCAATAGAACTTAATTATATTTAAAATATCAATTAAGTAGGGTTATAGGTATTATGTGAAAATTCCATTTTTAAAGTTTATGTAAATATGAGTTCGCTATTATTTTCTTTGTTAGTCAACTGCAAACAGTAAATTAAGAATTTTGATTTGTTTAATTGATATTTTGTCGATGTTTTACCAACATTACCATTTAATACTCTTCCATTATGTTGGTTATTTAATGGCGGAATCTGCCATAAAGCACAGTTAATGTTTGCTGTGCATTTATTTAATGCCTCCTCGTGAGCAGACGCACTTCATCATCCTGGCCTTTTCGCAGATCCGGGCAGCGTGAAATTAACTGACAGAGTCCTCGGCAGGACATCTTTTTATTTATACGCAGTCATACATTTAAATATGACGCAAGGCCTGAGAGGCGGCGAGTTTCCCTTTTTCGCTGTCAGGTCAAGAAGAAGAAGATGTCCTGATTCTGGATCTGAACCGGAATCTGAGCTGTATCCGAATCTGTATCTGTGGATGACTTCGGACTTGACCCACAGCTCGCAGGACTGCGCGTTTGTGCGGGCTGATTTATGACATTTTATACAAACGTCAATTTGATGCAGCTGTCACTGCAGCGGAAGTGCAATCTGCGAGTTAAATGCGTGCAAAAGCCATTTCCAGGGCCATTTCCATGGCCAAGAAAAATAAAATTAAATGGCCGCATGTAATTAAGTCGCTTAATGTGCCTCAAATTGCCAACTCGCTTGGGCCAGAAAAACGTCCGGGGCTTATGAATTTCCACGCATTAATTTTATTTCCCTCAATTTTCGTACCCTTTATGCGGCCCTTTTTTTTGCATCCTTTGTTTATCCCCACTGTGGCCACTTTGCCGCTGCCAAGTGTCAGTTTTGATTGTTGCCAAAAAAAAAAGAAATTATACTTCTGCCTTTGGGATAATTAGCGAAAAACTTTGCCCAGCAATTCGGCTGGCAAAAAGTGGCCATTAAAATGTGCCATTATCGGAATTCTCCGGCAGGCTAAATGGATTTAACCGAAAATTTAACTTGAGATTTAGGTGACGTGTAGGACTTCAGAATTTATTTTCAATTTGCACACGTCGCACAAACTGACTTGGCAGGATTGGGTTCCAATTTGAATGCGGATTAGGAGTTCAGCTGCATATCATAAATGACACGCCCCCCGCCCACAAGGAGCGGGAATGAATGAAACAATAAAAATATCCGCAAAGCTGCATCCGTATACGAATATAATGCAATAATAAAATGGGTAACGAAAGCAAGAAAAAGCTGATATTGGAAAAGTTTTTCAATTTCAGCAAAGCTTTTATTTTACATGCAAAGATCCCGCACTCACACACTCGCACCTCGGAAAATCGTTTTCCCACCACCCGCCACCCCCCCACTTATCACCATTGGGGCCAAGTGCAGGCGGGAAAACCAAAACTATTTTGTTCTGAAAGAGAAATCCTCACACATCCCAATAGAAAATACAAAATTAGAAATGGGAAACCCAGCAACAGAACGCAAAATGTAAGCAATAAGCGAAAATGAAATGAAAACTCATGAATGGCCAACGAGAGGAAAGCGAAATCAAACCGAAAAAGCATTTTCCGAGTATTATTGGTTACCAACTCCCTTCCTCCTCCCTCCTTTCTCCCCTCTTCCACCACTTGCCCTTCCTCCATTATCCCAGCTCCATCTTCATCACCATTTCCATTTCCATTGCCCACTCGCATATCCATTTCCATTGCCCACTCTCATCGGCATCGGTATTTGTACTCGCTATGCAGTTGAGAGTGGAATTTTGCATGCCGCAACGCAGTTGGCCATGAAATGGAAAACGAAGGCCAGCATAAGCTGAAAATTACCGAAAAATCCTGTATCCGTATCCGGCAAATAGAATCAAAAGAGCAGAACTCGCGCAGACGAAGCGTGTTATAGAGTTGCTCCTTTATTTATGAACGTCTGCGGTGGCTAAGCGCCGTTTTTCCCCTCCAGTTGCCCATGACCGCTTACCCATTACCCATTCTTTAATTAGGCTCTGGACCAGGACCTTAAGGGCCGATCTCTGCGACTGTCGTTAAATACACATTGAATCTGGAGAGCTGCCCATGACTGTAAATCATTTCTGATTCTGTAAATTGGCAACATGCGAATAATTCATGCGAAACACTTTGCAGGAATACACAGGAATGAAATATATCACGAGAGAAAGCTCTAAAAATACTTCTCAAAGCTGAGTAGGTATTTTTAATATGAATTTATTTATTGTTTAATTCAATACCTAAAGCCTAGAGTTCAATTATACCAACTTTGTTTAAAATAAAATGTCAAAAATATTGGCAAAAATATCTCTTACATAAGAAACTTGAATAGCGCATTCGTCAATTTATTTAAATTGAACAAAAAAGTAATAAGCCCCAGTCAAAAGAGACAAAATTGAGTTTTTGGTGAAAAATGTGCCTATTTTTAGCAGTGCCCTTATCAGACATGAACAATGCCATTAGCCACTTCCAGTTTTAGACCTTGATGCATTGCCGGAAAGAAGTCTCATTTTAAGCCAGACAACTGTTGAGTGTGATTTTCACTTAAATGGAGAAAACCTCTGACTTTAGTGTAGATGTTAAATCCTTTCACTTTTCTGCCCTTGACTCTTGACAAATGTCAGGCAATCTATGGCACTCGCCGGCAGATTCGATGGAAATCATCAGATTTGACCAACCTTTTGGTAACAAGAAGTTCAGCCCACATGAGTGGAAATTTATGTGCGCTCCACACAGTGCTGTAAAAATCCTGCATGAATTTGCATATTTTCGGGAGCACAAAGCACATGGTAGAGAAAAAAAAGGTAAATAAATAAACGAAATTTGCTGGAAGAACTGCTGGGAATACGTTTAGCTATTGTTGAGCTTTACGCGTCAAATTTTACATAAATCTTTATTTTCCCAGTGCGAAGGAAGCTGTTTGGTTTGAAAAATGTGCTGCATACTTCTGTTTCGAACGCGGTAGATTGGACTGAGGACTGTGGACTGTGGACTGGGGACTGAGGACTGGGCAACTTCGCCTCGTATCGGATGAACTGTCCCTGCTTGGCAACCGGGCCAAATGGAAGGCAAACACGAAACGACAGCTTCGAACTGCCGTTAAATCAAACATAAAACCCAGAGTCAGAATGTGAATCAGAAAGCAGTAGCTGGAGAGCTGGAGAGCAACTCGCCTAGCAACGGCCACTAAACCGAACAAAGTCAGCTTTATGGGCCATCAAAATTGCACAACAAGCTGCCGCTGCTGGTCCCACAGGTTAGTTATGTTTGCTGCCCAGATTGGTGGGTTCAAAACCACCTAAACCCCACTCCACATCATTTCCATTGCCTAGTTTCAGGCGCCTTGATTGCACAAAATATGGTTGCGGTTGTCCGTTTTCAATCTAAAATGTGCTCATCAAATCTACATAATTTGACCCACAGGATGGTAGGTGGTTCAATCAGTCCGGCAATCAGCACTTTTATTGTTGCTAATCAAAGGTCAACCACACGGATTGTAACGACACAGAGTTTCGGCTAGTTCTGTGGCCAGCATCCGTTCATCCTCGTTCCGGCCAAATCTCATTTCTCATTTAGTGCTACCCGATGGCAGCCTTCCATCATCCTCATCCGCATCCTCATTCGCCTC